TTCTCATTTCACCCACACACACATGCACATTAATTTAGCTCATTGCACCAATACACGGGCGCATAGAAAATGCAAATATTTACATATCTACATATAAATGTACATAAATGTGCAAATGTACCAATTAGAGAAAAAGTACAGCTGCCTGCTTCAAATACATATGCAATTATATGTATTTTTGTATAATTGTGTGTGATTGTAAGTGCTCGCATACATAAAATCCACATAGGTCATCATTTACATACACTCACGTACATAAATATATATCAGTATATACATAGATAGATATGCCACATAGAAAACCTATTGGCACACCCAATAATTTAATTTGAAGTGATCATGTTTTACTTGGGCACAGAAATTTTTCGAATGCTTTTAGCTTTTGGCTTTTACTTTTTCATATTTTTTTATTTATTGTATGTAAGTAAAAATGCTTTTGCATGTGTAATTTTTAAACTCGGCACTGCAAAATCTTTATTCCATGTTCGCCAACTGCATTCACATACACGCACATACACTTTCATAAAAGCACACATGCATACATACTACATAAATACATTTGCATGCATGTACATATTCTTTGATTTCAACTTTTTAAATATGCTTTTCCATGGTTATTGTGAAATTTTGGAGTAATTTTGCTACTGCTTTTCACTGCTCTGCACAAAACACGCACAAATTCGTGAAAATTTTAAATTTTTTCAAGGTTATATACATAGATTAACACATACATATGTATGTAAAGCTAAAAAAATAAATATGTTAAATATTTTTAATTTATACAGAAATTTACTTTTTTTAGCTCCTTATTTTTGTATCCATAAGTGTATGAAAGTTTTTCCAACGCCCGTTGCGGAGCTGAGACTCCAAACGCTTTTAATCATGCACGACGTCGCTTCAACTGCAAAAGTTCGCCATGCTAGCACGAGCTTCGACCAGAGAACTTCAAATTCGTTTCCATCTTCGAAAAATTCAATACACTGTCAAGTGTGTATTTATGTATGAGAGAAAATCCACGCACACATGGACACCTGTTCGGCGCTCTCACCAACACGTTCAGTTAACTCGCTTGAAAGCGTTATGTGTGTAAAGTTTCGGTAAGGAAAAGCAAAGTGTGAGTATGCGGGCGCTAAAGTGCTAAGCAACGAAATAATTTATTTTGTTATTGTTAACATTAACACTTACATATGTATGTATGTAGAAACATACGTAAGTGCATTTGTATTTGATGACAGGTCCATATTCACATTACATACATATTTCACAAAACTCTGAAACATTTACGGAATGTTTAATTTATTTACAAGTACGTACATACAATGTACATATTATATGCATGTTTTTGTATATTTTTGAGAAAAATATTCTTCAACTTTATTGAAAATATAATAATATTGTGTTTTAACTCTTTGTTAATTTTTTTGTAGTAGTATCAGAAAGAACTTTAAACATATTTAGCTATGAATGTACATACATTCATACATATATGTATAATTGTAAGTAAAAACTAGAAACATGAAGAAACGTTAACTTCGGCTGCAGCGCTACTTCAAAGTTTTCTTTACAATGACTTGATTTTGAAGTTTTTTTCCCAAATTAAAAAGTATGTTCGTATTTTGTATTATTGTTAATAAATTAAAAAGTATTCCATTCAGGGACTTAATTCCGATCGTTATTGTTGTAGCGGCAAAAATCTGACGAGTTGACAGTCCTCGAACGGATAAAAATCCGAGTACAATTCCCGGTGATTGCATTATTGCTTTAGACTCGTGCCAAATTTCGTCAAGA